GTGGGGTGGGGCAAGTACAAGTATTTTTTTAATTTATTTATTTTTAATATGTTGCAGCATTGTGTGTGTACGTGTGTGTGTGTGTGTGTGCCGCAGGCTGTCTACGCTCTTCCCTCGCCGGCCAATTGCAATTTTACAACTCAATAAATTGGCAACAGTTTCTATCAGCAATCAATGCGTGTGTGTGTGTGTGTTTGATGTGTGCGCAATTATTGTTCTAACGGCATTCGAGCAATTTAGTGCCGCCTTTTTGGGTGGGCAGTGCGATGACCGCAGTCGATGTTGCTGCTGCTGTTGCTGTTGTTGCTGCTGTTGCTGTTGTTGCTGCTGCTGTTGGCCGCATTGTCTGCTGGCTGCAACTTCAATTTGACTGTGTCTGCGTGCGCCCGCGGCTCCAGCCTGATGTTGGCCACGATTTTGGGTCTGCTGCGTCTGGCGATGGCCACACACAGAAAATCATCAACATAAATTTTTTCTTTTAGTGCGTTCTGTCCCCCCCGCTCTGCACCCCTTGCCCCTTGGGTGTGGGTCTATGTGCGGCGCGTCCTCGCGCTGTTTTTGGGTGTTGAAACTCATAAAGCCAAGCGCCGTTTTTGGCCATAAAATTGACAGCTTATCGTTCGAGGAAATTGAAAAACGGCTGTGTTCTATACATGCTTATCGCGATCGGCCCGATTATCGATAAACTAGCCATAGTTATGATCGATTAAATCAGTCGATTGGCTAATCAGCCTAACGCCAAAGCAGATAATAGAGGCTAGCTAACTGAAGTGCGGCTCATATAGAATACATAAGAGCTGAAACTAATAGAAGTTAACTTTTAGAAAGCCTATAAAAATAGTTAAAAATTACGATATCAACTAAATTGGCTAGGCTTTTGTTCTCTTCGGTTTTATAATGGACTATAAAGGAAAAATGGGTTAGTCGTAGCTCTCAATAATAGATTTGTTGGTCAAGAAGTTGCCATTCGTCTAGTTTGATTTAGAGTTTGATTCCCAAGTTTGAAGTATACCAATGCTAACGAAGGTTTTGTATAGACATAGGTCTAAATTTCCCACCCTTATAACTCGTTCAAAAATCAACCGATTTTCCTAAGGAGTGGCTTTTTGTTCATGGCTTGGCCTCTAAATAAATCCTACATCTAAATCTGGCAACATTATTTTTAGTCAAATTTCGTGTGGAAATGGTACCCTCAAATATCCTATATAGACATGGGTCGAAACTTCCCACCCCCATAACTCGGCCAATAATCAACCGATTTTCATAAGAAGTGGCTTTTTGTCCATGGCTTGGCCTGTAAAACAACGCGACATCAAAATCTGACAACCTAATTTTTAGTCAAATTTCATGTGAAAGGGGTACCCTCAAATATCCTATATAGACATAGGTCTAAATTTCCCACCCCTATAACTCGGTCAAAAATCAACCGATTTTCATAAGAAGTGGCTTTTTGTTCATGGCTTGGCCTCAAGATAAATTCGGCATCCAAATCTGGCAACATTATTTTTGTTGTTAGGTTTTGTTCGATTTGCTTTAAACATATATTTTAAGCTCTACATAAGAACTGTTTCGGCGATTTGGATTTCCCTTCGGTTTAAAACTTATTTTCAAACATCTTTTGAGAGATTTTATTTTATATATGCACTTAATTAAAGCTAACATTAAAGCTTCATTTGTTGTCATACAAATTAAAGCTAACATTAAAGCTTCATTTGTTGTTCATTTGATATCAGCATTAAATTAAAGCTAGCTAGTAAAAATGTTCTGTAAATGTGTACCCAAAAAAGTTCTAGACGTAATCTTCTTTAATTGAAAAATTATGCAGTTTTACTTTTTGTTTTTGTTTTGATTTGTTTTCGTGCCCATTTTCAGGCCACAATAAAAAGCAACAAAAATATATATAGGCCAGGCTTATGAATATTTGTTGGCCATTTCTTGTGCTGTTTGCTTTGGCTTTGGCTTTGGCTTTGGCTTTTGCTAATTTGTTGAGCGCTCAACAACAAAATTTTAATGAATTTTTCAAATAAATTTAATATGCAAACGGCAGCAGCAACAACAACAACAAGTTGGCTGGCAGTTAAAAGCGGCTTTAAATGTTCTGCAGCTCGTCAAAAGTACCGTTGGCTGTGCGTTATGGTTTGTTGACTGCCGGCGACAACTTCCGACGCACCAACAACAACAACAACAACCACAACAACAACAACCGACAACGACAACAACCGACAACAACCACATGCAACAACTGGACGCGTCGTTGCGGGTGGCTTGGGCCGCTGCCACAAGGTGGCAACTAGCTGCTGCGTGGGCGACGCACAAGTGGGCGTGGCTGATTTGAAAATTGCTTGTAATAGCTCTGCTTCTGCTTCATCTTCTCCTTCTTCTTCTTCTGCAACACATTGGGCGAGGGCGCACAAAAAGTGTTTTACATTCGGTCGGTTAATTAAATTTTTCACACTTTGGCCAACTCTTTAATGACAGCTATGATGCGCAGCGGGGGCGGGGCGGTGCGGAGGGGGGGGGGGGGGGTTGAAGTTAAACACCTGCTAATAACCCGATTTGGCGACTGCAGTGCAAAAGTCATCAGGCACACTAAATGAGTCAATAAAAAACGGAATAAAAGTGGCCAAAAAAGATGTAAATAAAGGCAAAGCAAAGGCAAGGTATAAGATAAAAAGAAAGGCAAACACGCCGCAGAGCAAATACACTTGTAGACCAAAAGCTTTATCTAATCAAGTTAGCTTGAGAAAGCAACAAATTTTGCCCACAATTTTTCGACCGATCTATAGGAAGATAGAGCTATATGATATAGTAAGCCGATGTGGATGAAATTCTGTTCATATCCAAAGAGTATTTGTTTGAAGTATACATGTATATGTATATACATGCTATCATATCATATCATGTCTTCCTCAATGCTTTTCACATTTCTTGACTAAATTATAATACTCTCTAAAAGAGTAAAGTACAACACCTGCTGTTTGCATAAGTCCACATAAAAAACTTGGCCTGAACCTTTCCCTATTCCCCCCCCAAATAACTCCCCGAGCCGCTCCTTTGTTTTGTTATTCGCATTTTCATTAATTGGAATTTCTTTGGTTTTGACTCCTGGGGGGCAGCTAGGCCAGCAACAGCAACAACAACAACAGCAACAATCATAACAGCAACAATCATAACAGCAACAACAACAACAACAAGAGCAACAACCGCAAGTAGCCTGAACACCGGTAGCCCCCACCCGGGTTTTATGGGTTGGGTCTTTGGGTTTTTGTCTTTTGTCGCGCCTGAATGCGGCTCGATAAAGCAGACAATGGACAAATGTATTAATAAAGTTATGAAATTCACAATTGTGCGCAGCAGGGCGTGCGGCGAGGTGGTGAAGGGGGTGGGGTAGGGGCGTGTGGTATCTGAAGTGGGGCAAGGGTAATAGAGTAGCATAGCAATTATGTTATAAAACGAACGCGATTTAAATGCTTTAATAACTGCTAATGATTAGGACATTTAAATGGTGTTTTATTAGAATTTAGAGCTCAGCTTTACAGTTAAATAGAATCTTTATAATATAATAATAGATACAATCTACAACAAAAGGCCCATCAATTTATTAAGAGGAGTATAATTCTAATATGAAGCATTTGAATATGGTCGTAAAGTCGATATAGATAGCTCTACTTGGCAGTACCTGAGTTTCTAAGGTCTCCAAAGTCTGATTTCTATTAGCTTATAAACTGTCCAAATAAAACTTCTATCTTTACTGAGATCTTAACTGCTAGCTATATTTTTCCTTTTTTTTGTAGATCTCCGTCGTATAACCCAATGCCAATAGGTCGAAAAAATAACCTTAAGGACTCACAAAGTAAGTATATACTTTTCATCATTCTATGAGTGATATGCCTTTTCATTAATAGTCAAAACATAACCTAGAGAAGGTTAGTTCTTTTATATTTTCTTTTTCTTTATCAAAAGCAGACTAAGCTTTAAATATTTCTTTACAAAGTCCCTTGGGTTCTTTATTCTAATTGAATACCTTCATTATAATTCCGTGAGCTCTATAAACAAACTTTATGTATCCAAAAAATTGAATATTACGGATAGCGAATTATCAAAAAAAAAAGAAAAAGTATCATACTCATTATTCAATATTTTAGTTCGACATTAGCCTTATTTGATAATTTCCAATATTACCTAATTGCCAATGCTGCCAATATTCAATTATGTTATAACACTTACCGAAATTCGCGTTAAGTGTTATAATTAACGCTACATTGAATGAACAATGATCTCATTGCGGTTGATTGCATTGCAATTGAATTTATTGTTGAAGTAAAAGTAAAAATTTGACTCAATTTGCGGCAACACTTGAAACTGTTTATTTATTTATTTGCCTATTTATCAAACGCGCCATGGCAACCACCCACAAAATGGGGACCACAAAGAGCCTAAACCTGCGCCGAGCCGAGCCGAGCCGCCCAACCAACCGCCTTGTTAAGCGGCCAGCGAGCGACTGCTTAACAGCTGTTTGGCCGTATAACAGACGTATAACAGAGGCGTGCGCGAGGGCAAAAAGTAAACAACAAACACAAACCGGCTGTTGTTGTTGTTGCTGCCGACAGTTGCAGTTTTCTACTTCCGTTTAAGAGCGCGCGAGAGCGCTGTGCAAAGAGAGCGGCCAGCTAATTACTGTTGCTTTGCTGCATTTTCTACTACTATTATGCGCGCAGCTACTACTATTTGAACAGCTGCCACTGCTGCTACATATTTTCGGCAAGCGGAAGCACCAAAGAGAAGGAGAGTGCAATAGAGAGAGAGAGTGAGATAGAGAGAGGGACGAAACGAGTTGGAAACGACTCGGTCGACTTTGGCTTCGGGCCGACGAGCAAAAAAGAAGAAAAAAATAAACCAGTTAACTGCTTTGGCTTTTGGCGTTGGCGTTGGCAGCAGCAGCAGCGGCAGCAGCTCGAACTCTTGGCGAGCTTGGTTTCAGTTGAGCTTTGCCAGCCAAAACGACAACAACGACCGAGCACGACGCTGCGTTGGGTGCAACTCGAGTTTAGCTCTCAGACACATTCGACGAGTTCGCGTCGCGTTCAACACAAACAAAACAACAACAACAAAAACAAAACAAACAGATACAAATAAAACAAAACAAACAACAAATTCAAGACAAACACAAACATAAATAGCAAACGGTAAATTTAGTTGCAAAAAAAAAAAACTAGCTAATTAAGCAGCAAAAGCGCAGCCCAAAGTCCCCCCCAACCCCCACACCCTCTGCGCGCACGCTGCAGAAACCAGTTTAAGCAATTAAAAGAAAAAAGAATATTTTTGAAGCAGCCTATGTGCATATAGTTGCATATATATATATATGTATATTTATGTACATACTGTTGTTTATAGCATTAAACTTAAACAAAAGGGCAGCTCGTGCTTGACAAAAACAAAACTGCAAGTGTGCAAGTATTTCAGTGTGTGTGTGTGTGCTGTATGTGAGTGTGTGTGTGTGTGTGCGCGCTGGCTGCCTTCTAAACAGCCTTGAAAGCTGCCTCGCATCAGCCTCTGCTGCACTGTCAACCGAGTAACAGCAGCAGCAGCAGCAGCAACAACAAAGCGTTCCACAAGTCACAACAAAAGCAGCGGCGGCGGCAGCGGCAGCGGCAGTGGCAGCACTGGCCGTGGCAGCACTGGCTAAAGATGCTAGGAAGACGCGCAGCTGACTTTATGACGTCGCCAGTTTGGCGTGTTAACCTGGCCAAGCAGCAGCAGCTACCTGGCTAGACATGAAACCTGGTGTTGTGTCTATCTGTTGCTGCCTGCCTTGCAACTGCAGCACACACACACACACACACACACATAGTTGTGTTTAGGGCGCAAGCAGCAAAAACAATAAATAAAAGCTGGCAAAATAAAACGCTTTTATTTTTGTTCTTTTTTTTTGTTTTGTTTTTGATGAGTTTTTCATAAATTCTGCAAAAAACAAAAATAAAAGCAAAGAAAATAGCCAAAAGGCGCGCAAAATTTCTACAGGCGCACGTACGTGTGTGTGTGCGTGTGTGTGTGTGTGTTTGTAGTAAACCGGTTGCAGTTGTGTTTTTTCTTTTACTTTTTTTTGTAGCTTTTTTTGCGCTTGGCTGTGGCGAAAATAAATAAAAGCGATTAACTTGAGACAATTTTAGTAGCCAAAAAAAAAGAACAGCGAGCCAAATGCAGTTGCTGGCCGGCAGCTTTTTATAGCCAGTTTTTTTGGCTCAAATTTTTGCATATTCGCAGCATAAATCTGCAGCGCATAAAGTCCTAGGCTTTACCTACCCTCTATATATACACGCTATATATGCCAGATTCCACTGAATAGTCGCTGCTGCTGCTTCTTCTTCTTCTTCTTTTTTGCCGCTGCTTTTGTTTGCATTTTATGCAAATGAATATTGCTTTTTGGCATTTGTTTGGCTACTTTTTGCGGCCAAATTTTCACACTACAACAACAACAATAATATGTACTTTAGCTCGAAAGTCTATAAGAAAAGAATTTCATAATTTTCTTTTTATATATTTTTACTTTTTTGTTGTGCCTATGACTGTGTGTGTGCGTGTGTGTGTTTTACTATTGTGTTCATATATTTTATTAGCTAAATATATATATTTTTGATTTGAAATTATTATTTGGTGTCATTTGATTTGTGGCCGCGTTTCTAACGCCCTTTTTTGCATTATTGATTGTTATTTATGGCCAAAAGGCAAAGCCGCAAGAAGCGCCAAAGGGAGCAGCAGCTGCCACTTCTACAACAAAAAATATAAAAACAAAAACCAAAAAAAAAGAAACGAAAATCGAAATCAAATTCCAAATCAAAATCAAATTTCAAGAGATCGAGACATTGGACAGGTGTCTGCCGAAGCAATCGGATTTTGATTAATCACAGGTGAGTTTGTTAATGTGCGACATTTTGGGGCAAGTAGCTTGGGTGGGAGGGCGAGCGGGTGGTGACAATGTCAGGGGGGGGGGGGGGGTCGGGAGCTTCTTAAGTCAGCAAACAGAAATGCTGCCAATTTGCAGCGTTTGTTCAGCTCGATTGTAATTGCATTTGGGCCAACTACGATTCAAGTGTTAATTGGCAGCAAGAGTTAAAAGACTTAGCTATACTACGGGGGGAGTCGCAGCCGTAGGAGATGTTCTATTGAACTAACCCGATGAAGGGGACAGAATAATTTAGAGGAAGTCACAACAATCGGGGAACTTCTTCGATGAAGGAGAGAGAGAATCCTTTAGAGGGAGACGCAGCAATCAGAGATGTTGCATTGAACTAACCCGATGAAGGAGAGAGAATAATTTAGAGGAAGTCACAACAGTCGGGGAACTTCTTCGATGAAGGAGGGAGAGAATCATTTAGAGGATGTCGCAGCAATCGGAGATGTTCTATTGAACTAACCCGATGAAGGGGACAGAATAATTTAGAGAAAGTCACAACAATCGGGGAACTTCTTCGATGAAGGAGAGAGAGAATCCTTTAGAGGGAGGCGCAGCAATCGGAGATGTTCTATTGAACCCGATGAAGGGGAGAGAATCCTTTAGAGGGAGGCGCAGCAATCGGAGAACTTACCCGATGAAGGAGAGAAAGAATCCTTTAGAGGATGTCGCAGCAATCGGAGAACTTACCCGATGAAGGAGGGAGAGAATCATTTAGAGGATGTCGCAGCAATCGGAGATGTTCTATTGAACTAACCCGATGAAGGGGACAGAATAATTTAGAGAAAGTCACAACAATCGGGGAACTTCTTCGATGAAGGAGAGAGAGAATCCTTTAGAGGGAGGCGCAGCAATCGGAGATGTTCTATTGAACCCGATGAAGGGGAGAGAATCTTTTAGAGGGAGGCGCAGCAATCGGAGATGTTCTATTGAACCCGATGAAGGCGAGAGAATAATTTAGAGAAAGTCACAACAATCAGGAAACTTATTCGATTAAGGGAAGAGAGAATCCTTTATCTTATTTTATTCTCAAGACAATTGATGAATTTTATAATACAACAGCTTAAAATCTAAAATATCTTGTTGAAAGGAAACTAGCAATAAAATGTTATTAATAAATTGAAGTATTTTGAAGCGCGCATATTGCCAGTTTAAATGTTTAATCGGTTAAAATTGAAAATAAATTTGTATAAAAATGCATGTGATTTTTAGAAATGTATTTAAAATGTTTTTAAATTCTATTCAAATTCTAGACAATTGAATTTAATTCAATTGCTGAGATTTTGTAGGATTTGCTCATAGAATTCGCAATTGATTTGAAAGTATATTTATTCGCAATTTAAATAATTGATTGCTTAATAATGCAAAGCATTTAGAGGAAAAATCAAGAGATTGTACGAGCAAGACAAAATATCATCAGCAAGCCGCCTATTTAATACCCTTCTAGACATTTTCCTTACGATTTTGCAGGTATCTGAGAATTGTCAAGCTTGTTAATGCTGATATCAACTCGTCAGTTGAGGCTGATCTAGAATATATATACTTTCACATTTCATATCAAAATTATAATACCCACCACAAAATGGGTAAAAAGGGTATAATGTATTTGTGCAAATGTATGTAACAGGCGGAAGGAAGCATCTCCGACCCCATAAAGTATATATGTTCTTGATCAGCATCAACAGCCGAGTCGATTTAGCCATGTCCGTCTGTCTGTCTGTCCGTCTGTCCGGCCGTCCGTCCGTCTGTCCGTCCGTCTGTCCGTCCGTCCGTATGTATGAACGCAAGGATCTCAGAACCTATAAGAGCTAGAGACTTGAAATTTTGGCTGTAGGTCCTCCTACTTTGTTTCCAAGTAATCGATAAAAATCGATATCGAAATCCTGTTTTTTGAGCAATTTCGGCAAATAATATGAGCTAGAGTCACCAAACTTGACATGTAGCTTCTAGAATAATATATATATATAGCAAGTATCTTTCATTTTATATCTATCGCCTGTCGGAAGAAGAGGGTTCAGGGTATCCCCCAGTCGGGGGCTCCCGACTAGAACCTCTTACTATTATTTCTATTTCTTATACCTATATTTATTCGCTTTATATTGGGAATTTACGAAACTAATAGCGAATATAGTCAACTAATCCTAAAAATAATGTATGACAATATATTTCAATTTTAGAGGCTGCTAATCTGAAAAAAAATATCGTTTTCTTCAAAAGTGATCGAATTTTTTAGCATAGTGTAACTTCTAACATATATTGATAATTATAGTGCTCCGATTCGTATAGTTTCTTTATATGCAGCAAATAGACTTCCGCCCTAAGTTACAGCTTTATTCAGCCCACTTTTAACTCTTTGTCATCCTAAGCCATGCATAGACAAATCTCTTAATAGATCATCTGCTAATGCATTAATTATTCAAATTGCAAATTGCGCTCATTACGACAATTGTTCGACAAAAATTTAACAATTAACACACACACACAGGCACACGCACACAAATTAGTTGAATTCAACTGTTTAGCTACAACTAAGCCAAATCAAAAGCCAAACATTTTAATTATGCAGCGACAATACGCATACGCCCCGTGCGCCCAGCTGGCTGACACAGACAAAAGCTGCCTGCTGCCGCACAAGACACACACAAATTTTCACCAAATTTTCCGCACCGAAACTAACTAACGGTACGTGCTTGAATTTATTAAAATCCCAGCACGAAAATTTGGTGCGAAAAACAAATCAATTAAAACAACTTTTGACTCTGCTTTTGGCCTGCAAACTCAACCCATTTTATCTGCATATCAGTAGTTATTGTTTATGGTTACGTTTATGTTTATGGTGCACCCCACCCCCCCCCCCCCTCCCCCTTTCGGTCCACACACACAGATACCCCTCGTAAAATCTGCATAACAATAGCCCGAAAGCTGCTTAAATGCTGCCATTTCGAAGGCAACAACATTTTAATTAAAACTCTTTTGCTGGGCTGCGTTTCAGATTTTGGTTTTGAATATTTGCACGTGTGCGCCACCCACCCCCCCAACCACCCTCCCCCCTGCCACGCCCACGCACTCGGCCTGGGCAGCCCAGACAGCCGGCGGCAATAAATGTTAACAAACATTCAAAAAAATTTGCATAAAATGTGCGCGTCTCAATTCAAAACGCAAAACGACTCAATTTTTGCATTTCAAATATTTTATCGCCCCGACTGTGTGTAATTGTTGTGCGTGTGTTTGGTGTGTGTGTGTGTGTGTGTGTGGCAATTAAATGGACAGCGAATTAATCACAAAATGCACAAAAATTTACTGCCGATGGAAATGGAAAAGCATGCGGAAAATATTTTCACAAAATTATGCATATTTTCATTTGCAATTTATGTTAATTGAAAATTTGTCCGAAATTCCATTGCGTTTCATAAATTGATTATGCACATGTATTGATAGTTGTTTTATTGGCCCGGCCAAGTATTTCTGTTATTTTATTGTTTATTGCCGAGATTTGGCAAATTAAGCAAATTTTGCAGCATTCCACACGGTATTCGTGTTCGTGTTATCGCCTGTGGGAAATGTGCGCACATAAATAATAAAAATATGTATTATGAAAATTAAAATAAATATTTAAACATTTTGTGCAATAGTTGGAATTTTCAAAGTTCGATTTTTTGTTTGGCCTTCTCTCTTTCCCTCTGGTTCTCTTTCTCTCTCTTCCTCTGACCTACTATCTCGCCCTCTGTCTATCTGTTGCGTACTCTCACTCTTACTGCAAGGTTTTTTATTTGGCGTTCTCTCTTTCTCTCTCTCTCTCTCTTTCCAAATATCGCCTTTCTATGCGCTTCACAAGAGTTCAAGTAAGCGCAAATGATTTCTGCACATAGAAAAGAGTTTATTTCTTTTTTGCTGCGAATCTTGGCAATATTTTGCAAACACTTTCCTTTTAAAAACCACTTACTGTCCCATTCGTGGCCCATCGAAATGTCCCCCGTTGAGTCTGCACAGAAATTTGAGCTTAATTGCATGAAAAGCTTATTTAACAATTGGCCGTCATGTAGCGAATTTTCCAATTGAATGCCTCTCAATTGAATTAATAGTGCGCCAATAAAGGCGAGCGTGGGCGTGGCATTACATTGCATTATGGCTTCTGCACTGAAGTATCTTTTAATTTTCCATTTTTATTTGTGCCTGTTAATTAATTTTGCATAAATTTTAAATGCATTTTCAGTGGACATAAATCAACAAACATTTGCATTCAACGCTTGTTACTTTTATATTTCAATTGCAAACTTACAAAAATGTTCATAAATCATGTGTGTGATTGTTGGGTTAATTAAAAAACGCGGCAACAGTCGCCGCTGGAAAATTGCGTATATCACAAATTGAAGTTTTGTGTGCCGAGTGTTAAATTGAAGTTAATTTTTAATTATGGCCGCAGAACGTGCACGTTAAATTGCCTTTTAAAATTCAATTTACATTTCGGTTTCGCTCTTGGCCCAGGCCCATCATTAATTTATGCGGCGAGGTGCGAGACGAGAATTTGTCCAAGAAGTTTGGCTAAGTACTTGGCGGGGAAAAAAAACAGAGTTTTCTTCGGGGCTAGTTGTAAAATGTTTCAAATTTGAATTTATGTGGCTCTGCAAGCATTCACAATGGCTTTTGTTTGATTAAGTGAATTTATTAAAGCTGTATTAAAGCTTAAAGGAGAGCTTTGCAAGCACATATAAGCTTTTGTTTGGATAAGTGAATCTATTAAAGTTTCTATAAGGCTTGAAGCTGGGGAAAAGTCAGCGAAGAGCTTTGTAAGTACCTGAAAGCTTTTGGTTGGCTAAATGAAGGCATTAAAGCTCTCTTAAAGCTTGAAGCGTGGCAAAATCAGGGCAGGCTATAACAAAGCTTTCTTCCCCTTTCGACTAGTTTAAAAGCTAACAGAATTTTATCTTAATTTAATTAAATTTTTAATTATTTTAA